CTTCTCCTGTGAGGACGAGAAGATGATGTGGTATGTGACTTTTGTTGCCATGATGCCAGGTCTCTCTTGGAAATGAGATTTTTAATCTCAATGAGATTTTTTTTACCTGGATAAATAAAGGATTAATAAAAAAAGAGTGTCTTTCTCTCCATCTTCAAGCTGGCCAAACGTCATGACTTTATATCAGTAAATGCTTTTAACTAATTAAGAAAATGTTATGTGGAGTTTCCCTTATTTTTTCCAAAAAGTTAGATCATAAAGAGGTTTATAATTACTTAACACTCACTAACTCGCGCTGACATAAAATCTTATATCACTTTAAAGGTTTGTTTAAAAAAGAGAGAGGCAAAAATGATGTTTTCCTCATTATACTGATATTTGTCATTATACCATCCATAGATCATAAAAGTCAAGAGCATATTTACAAAAACAAACATATTCCTTTTCTGTCACTTTTTATGGTTTTAAACTAAAATAGCTGTAAAATAGTTTTGGTTGTCCAGTGATGTTTCTTCTGTCTCCTCTCCTCGTCCAATCCATAAAGTAGAGTCCAACTGCTCCCTGGACCCTCTGCAGTACCTCAACACCGATCAAACCCAGGCCACGGTAGGTAGAGTGCTGATGTGTCTGCTGTGTGTGGTTGTTACTTGTTACTGAGGAATAAATATGAATGTGTTTGTGGTGTGCAGGTCAAGCTGGCTGCAGGACACAAGTTTGACAGAGATGTTGAACTGCTGATTTATTACAAAGACGCCCACCAGCCCACTGCTGTGGTGGAGGCAGGACAGGCCTCTGCTGAGCCGGGTGAGTGAAAAATAAGTGAAGTCATTAGTTTGCAAATAAAAATTCAAGATCCCAGTTCTTCAACCTGGAATTTAATTGTATTGGAATATATTGGAAACTGTAAACTTGACATTTTTCTGTCCTTTTCATGTCTCTGATGTGTTCAATGGCTTCATGTGGAGAGTTTGTGTTGGTAGTGAATCAATCTGAAAATATGAGTAATACTCGCACCAGCAGTGCCAGAGTATTCATAAAGTGGTGTTAGAGTTACAAAATATTTCCTCAAATCTTTCCTCAAATCGTTCCTCTCACACAGTGGCCTCACCATCTTTTCCCTCTTCCCTTCAGGACAGTCCTCTGCTCCTGTTGAAGAGTTTACCAATGGGCTGCTATTCAAACATTTTACAGTTTGGGGTCTCGTTGTGAACACATCTTCCCGTGAGTTGTATTCATGTGATCTCAGTGACTTAAAGTGATATCACTGTAAAACACCATGTTGCCTTTGGATGCTTCTGCAAAACTCCAGGTTATGTTTGATTTACTTGCTAAAACAGATTACTGAAAGCATACTTGTATACCTGCCAAAGAGTTGAGCTTTTGCTTGTGTAGATGAAAAAACTCTCCTCTCTTGCTGTTTGTCTTTACTGATGGAGAGGTGGGGAACACCAAAGAAGTGATTGAGAATTCAGGTTCTCACAGGTAAAACAACAAAAAGATGATGACATGTGCTGCGTACCAAACCTGTGTGTCTTAAAAACAGCTGTTGTATTGCAGGTGTTTCTCTTTTGGGATTGGGGAAGGGGCCAGCTCTGCTCTCATCAATGGGATGGCCAAGGAAGGAGGAGGTCACGCTCAGTTCATCACAGGGACTGACAGGATGCAACCAAAAGTAAGACAATGAGTCATAACAATTATCATGAAAAGGCAAGATGATATTATTATTTGAACAGAAGACATAAATTCCAAAAACATAAATGTATATTTTTTCAGGGTTTTTCATTATTTTTCAGGTGATGCAGTCGCTGCAGTTTGCTCTGCAGCTGACTGTGGTCGACATCTCAGTCATATTGGATTTACCAAAGGAAGTGTCTGTCACTGTCCTCTCTCCACTAATCACAACACTTTTCCAGGGTCAGAGGTCACTGATTTATGCCGAGCTCACTAGGACAGGTAGGAGCAGCCTCTCATGTTGTTGGCAAACTAGATCAATCTGCTGGGACATCTGATTTTAGGACAATCACTTGCTTTTCCAAAGGACACTGACAACCAGACATTAGATGCCACAGCCCTGGCCCACGGTACATGAATCACAATGTGTTACTTCAGAGGTGTGATGTTTTCAGGGGGTTTTTTTTCTGCGCTGCAGAAAATTGTAAAACTACTGTGAACTTGGTGGATCTGTCCAGATCTTTGACTGGAAACTATTTCTATGAATGAGTGGTTCAAAAATGTGTAAGTGAAAAGCTGCCATATTTCAGGTCCCAAAGTCAAACGAACACTGAGGGATCACTGAGAGCTAAAAACGGTCTAACTTCTTTCATCTTTAATAAAATGATCAGCGTTGCTGCTTTACCAGGTTTAACAATTAAGTTTAACATCCAGGCATCCATGAAAACAGAGTTTATTCAATTTAACTGAGTTAGAGTTTTGCAGTAAGTTAGCTCGCTAGTTTCCACCTAAACATGATCATCATAAGCAGTGTTACCAATTCATACACTGGTTTATCATCTAGACTTTTTGTCTCATGCAGCACCATGATCAGGTCCAGTTTTTATTTCATCTTTGATTTTTCAGCTGCTGTGCCTGAGCAGCCTCCCAGAGACCCTTTGTTGCAGTTAGTCTTCCTCCAGAAGCCATCTGGCTGCTTGATCCAGCTCTGGCTGCTGCACCGGGAAAGAGCAGTGAGGAGGTGGATTGATAAATGAAATTCATAACAAAAATTCATAATGGACTTTTTCCATTTAGGAATAATAAAAATCAGCTTTCTTTTTAATTGCTATTAACTGACAGTCAGATAACCAGCTTTTAAAAACATATTCATAAACACTTTGCAGTCAACAAAATTTGCACAGAGGTTATAGATGAAATAAAAGTATCACGTGTTTTCTAGGTGTGTTTATAACTCTGTTATTGTACATATTCTGTGTTATACATCATAATCATTCCAGTCTCTCTTTTTTTTACTGTTTTAATCTTTATAAAACTCTTTATTTATTTATTTTTGTGATTTCTGCTGCCCTATTGGTCTGGTCTCTCTTGAAAATCTGAAAATGTGATATTCATAATAAAAGGATTTAAAAGTTTACTGCCAAAAAATTATTAAACTTCATAACAGAAATGTGCTAACTGGCTTGAAATAGATTGAAACTGTTATGAGATTGCTTCAGGGAGCAGACATGACACCGTCTTTTAGGTTTCGCCATCACTTTGTATTATGCGCACAACACCACCCTCCTCTGGCTTCCACATGAACTGCACCTTAAACATCAACTGTTTACAAATGTCATGACACAAACAAACGTTTCAATACCGTAAATCACTTTTTGGACTGCGATCACTTTTTGGCACAACATCGGCTCTGATAACATTTAAAGCGCATTGAAAAACTATTCTTTAATGCTAAAAATCCATTATCAATTGTAATTATTTATTTATTAATTTAAATTTCAGATATCGATCTTCATTTTTGTAAACTGGTGAATTAATGATTTTTTAAAGAATTAAAACGACAAAGTTTGGCAATATATTTTTTTAAAAGGATGAATAAAACAGTAAAATAAAATGAGAAATATATATATATTTTAAAAACTATGATAATTAGACAAACTTTATTTTAAATAAATAAAATTGATTTTCGGTGCACTGGGTGTCATGGTGATGATGATGACGTGTTTGAGTGCAGGTATAAAAGCAGGAGGCAAAAGTGGAATTCGGGTTTCACGTTTGAGCGCAAACAGGAGCTTTTTCCCACTAGTGCTGTGAAAACTCGGATTTTTCAAACTACAGCCAACGTTTGAAAATCTTCAAGAAGGATTTGCAAAATGACTTCTACAAACTTCAGTCGCGAGATGCACCTGCTCTCCCTTTTCATTGACGAGGTGATAGATCAAGGCTATGGTGAGTACAGCAGGCTAATATGTCAGAGTGCTAGCAAACAAATACAACTTAGATTTTTGTCTTTTATTGTTTGGAAGTAGGACTTCGTGAGTGTTAACGTTTAGGATGAGATGTTTCATACTTGAGTAACATCAATTTTAACATGTGCCAGTACACTATAAAGATGGCGCCATGTTTTTTTTTAAATTGCTGGAAAAAAAAACAATTGAATGCACGCGCCCTGGAAACGACGTAAGGCATTGGAGGACGTTGACGTCAGCGCGCGGCCGTTTTTGCATGTAGAGGGTTTGAGTTGACATGTTTGGGCTGCTGGCGCTGAGTTATACGTGAAAATTTCATAGATTGTGAATTTTATAAAGCTGGAGAATGGAGTTTTAAAAGTTCACAGAGTCGCTGGATGAGTTTGAGATTGAAACAGTGTGTGCCTGCAATGAGGAGGTGGGAGGTTTCTCACCTACATGTAGCTGCTTTATTCTCAAAATATCGGTGCTCAACTAATATGAAGATATTACTCCTTAATGTGAATGCGTATTAAAACCTCAGTGAAAGTCCATGCAGCCTTACACCGCATGAAAACTTTCACCAAAAAAGGTGAAGGCTTTCATAAACAATGAGTTCTGCTGGGAGCTTCTTACTGTTTGTGTGTGGAAGAGCTTATGATGATGTAAAGCCATGTCTGGACAATTTAAATTCAGGCTTTAGTTTGTGTGATCACATGATTAACGTACACGCATGCTTTGCTTTCTCGTAGCTGAGCTGGTGAGTCCAATCACTGCTCCTCAGATGGTCGTCATTAACTTGAGGAACCGTGAACTGAGCAGCAGCCAACTGGACTCCATGTCCCACCTGGTCCTCACTCTTTACCATAACCTGGTGACGGGGTCCAAGGACTTTCCTTACATACCTTTTAAAGGATTGTTCCACCGGGACCAGGTGACGACACCATTTGTCCATGTGAGGCAGAGCCAGAGAGAGAACACCACTCCTTCTCCTCCTACGGACTCACCAGCTGGCATGATGCTGCCGCCTGCGGGCTCCAGCTCTCATCCACGCTTCCTGACTCCAGTTCTTCCAGAGAAAGCGATCTTGCTGTGCTGAAGGCAGATCGGAGGAACTGTGTCGGCACCTTGACTGTCGACGGCCTCCTCGTCACCAGAGTCATCTCCACTGTTTACCGAACAGAGGACACTGAGATGACGAACCGCTGGAGAATAACAGACTACAGCGCGGACGGCAGAGTTCTCACTTCGGTGCTCTGCCGTTTTCTAAATATGTCGGCAAAGCGTGCTAAGAGGAAGGCTCCGGAGGAAGAGAGCAGCATCCGGAGCCCGACTCCAGCAAGGAAGCGCTTGAGATTATAATATACAGTGAAGCATGTCGAACGTCAGCAAGCCTGAACAAAGTGGTAAGTAGTAAATAGTGCTTAAGGTTGTTTCTAAAATAATGTCCTAAAATATTTGAAAATCGTCGAGGTTTTAACTTTTATTCTTTCTTTTCTGCCTCTTGTTTCTAAAAGTCAGGAAAAAGAGTCACGCTGCGAAGAAACTCCACACAGAAGATGTTCCCTCAGTAAAATGGTAAATATATTCATCTTGTTATGACGTTTGCTCACAATAACCAGGAGTGTTCCTGTGTTTCTGAAGTGATTCACTCTCATTTGGTGTTATTTGATCCAAAGACAACTGAGGGTCTTCAGAGCAGCGTGAACGGCCGTCACCTGAGAGAAGACAGTCCTGGCGCCTTTGTGGTTCCCTCCAGGTACTCCAGCTTCATCCCACAGTCCAGAGAGATGCAGTTAGGTTGAATGTGAGTGTGAATAGTTGTCTGTTTCTCTGTGTTAGACTGACCTGTCCAGGTTGTACTCCTGCCTCTGGCCCCATAACAGCTGGGATGGCTCCAATCTTGAATTGGATAAGCTGAAGAAATGGATGGAAGGATGATCCAAAGAGAAACATGAAAGGCCCTCTCACAAAAAAAAGATAAGAACTCATTTTACACATTGTTGAAACATCCTGAAAGTTATTTGTTGTGTTTAGAAACTGGTTGAACTGTCATTAGAGTTTGTTTCGACTTGTTGTTCATTTCTTATTCGGTTCAGCTGTGTTTCTATGTGTCCTTAGTTCCCATAATCAGCCTCCTGTGTGTAAATATTGTGTCAGTCTCCCTTTGTCCCTTGTCAGAGTGTTAGTCTCCGTCCCCTCGTGTTTCCTTGCCTCAGTAGTTCTGTTTCCTATAGTTTTCCCCCAGTATAGGTTTTGGTTTGACTTTTTCAGTTCCCTTTGTCAGTCTTTGTATTTAGTATTTCTTCATCAGTCTCATCACTTTCCTCTGCAGAGAGAAAACAATAAAAAGACCTGAAGAGGTCTTTTTATTGTTTTCACCAAATAACACCAAATGAGAGTGAATCACTTCAGAACAACAGGAACACTCCTGGTTATTGTGAGCAAACGTCATAACAAGATGAATATATTTACCATTTTACTGAGGGAACATCTTCTGTGTGGAGTTTCTTCTCATCTTGGCTCTTTTTCCTGACATTTAGAAACAAGAGGCAGAAAAGAAAGAATAAAAGTTAAAACCTCAACGATTTTTTAATGTTTGGGATATTTTAGAAACAACCGTAAACACTATTTACTACTTACCACTTTGTTCATTCTTGCTGACGTTCACTCTCCTCATCTTCTCTCTAAAGGAAGATGCAAACGCTCTCATTGTGAAAGATAAGTATACATCCATCTAACCTGCGACTCTGTCACAACTCTGATCAGCAATTCTTTCAGGTTTGTCTGTTTTGATGATGCTATTAATTGTTATTATCCTTTATCCAGGTAACTTTCAGAGAGGAGCGGAGGGAGGAGCGAAGCCAGCGTGCTCTGTAAACTCTCATTAAAAAAAAGATAAGTACATATTGATTTTATATTATTATGACAGCTCCTCCTCAGTGAACACTTCCTCTAGTTGCTGAAATCATTTACTAATTTTTTTCTTCCCATTTGTCTTTTGTTTTTCAGAGAAAACAGAGAGGAGACAAGGTGACATTAAGACCTAAGACAGGACGGATTGAACCCTTTCTCGTAAAAAGATAAGTATTCACTCTGCTTTTAATCAGAATATTGATAAATATCTAAAATTCTGCTCACCTGGTTGATAAAGTTACTAAAATGATTCCCTCTTTTCTGTCATTTGTCCTTTAGAGAGAAGATGAGGAGAGTGAACGTCAGCAAGAATGAACAAAGTGGTAAGTAGTAAATAGTGTTTACGGTTGTTTCTAAAATATCCCAAACATTAAAAAATCGTTGAGGTTTTAACTTTTATTCTTTCTTTTCTGCCTCTTGTTTCTAAATGTCAGGAAAAAGAGCCAAGATGAGAAGAAACTCCACACAGAAGATGTTCCCTCAGTAAAATGGTAAATATATTCATCTTGTTATGACGTTTGCTCACAATAACCAGGAGTGTTCCTGTTGTTCTGAAGTGATTCACTCTCATTTGGTGTTATTTGGTGTTTGTCTTTGAAAGGAGAGGAGCAGCAACGACACTGGGAGACAAACAACAGGATGATCCAAAGACAACTGAGGGTCTTCAGAGCAGCGTGAACGGCCGTCACCTGAGAGAAGACAGTCCTGGCGCCTTTGTGGTTCCCTCCAGGTACTCCAGCTTCATCCCACAGTCCAGAGAGATGCAGTTAGGTTGAATGTGAGTGTGAATAGTTGTCTGTTTCTCTGTGTTAGACTGACCTGTCCAGGTTGTACTCCTGCCTCTGGCCCCATAACAGCTGGGACGGCTCCAATCTTGAATTGGATAAGCTGAAGAAATGGATGGAAGGATGATCCAAAGAGAAACATCAAAGGCCCTCTCACCAGCTTTCATTTATTAAATTTGTCTTTACTGAACGATTTCTGGTGTGTATTTGCATTGATACTCAGACAACAGCTCCTCTTTCTGTTTGTGCTGGAAGATTCAGGCAAACACATATTACATATATAGATTGTTATGATATGACTCAGTTTCACATTTAGTGCTATATGAGAATGATAAGGTCCAGTTTAATAGTATTGCTAGTGTCTAATGAAATGAACACGTGATTTTCAGATCCAGCAAAGTGAATATTTTTCACTGTGGATAAATTACATGGAAACGTTTAATGAGTCATCAGCTATGTCACTACAAAGATGATGTGATTAAAGGTTCTCATACATGCAGGTCAGAAGTTTTGCTCCATCCTGGATGTTAAATGCTGATCAATGTTTACACATATCTGCACATTTCTAACAGCTCATTTCACAGCTCATCAGTCTCCTGACTGCATATGCAGAGTTTTATCATCACGTGTTCATGGCAGACAAACATAATTATGAATTCTTGTTTTAGTTCCATTCAGTCACTCAACATCAGGTGTCTGCTTGTCCTGAGCTGTGAGAACTACAGTGAGTTGCTTTCCTCTTTAGCTTAGTATTAATAAACCAGGTCGTAGGTGGGCACCTGCATCAAGGAGTCAAGAAGCATATTTTACTGTTTAATGGTGAAAATAATGGATTGTTGTTCATTTGTTTAATGGAAAGACTGAAAGTGTGGCCTGGTGTTGACTTACACTTATTCAAAGTGATGAAGTACTAACATATACTAAAAGTCACAGCCTGAAACACGTCAACTGCTTTATTATTTCTGGTTTTAAATAAACTGTAAGAGCAATGTGCAACAACAAAGAAAAAATCCCTTAAATAAAACAGTACCTAGTTCATATGTTTTAAGTTCTAACTACTAAATAAAACACAAAAAATATCAAGAGAAATGCTTCAGTACTGTAAATTCATAGAGGTAGGTGCAATAAGGGAACATGATTTGTAAATCAGTCGAATAATTAAGTAGAATAATTTGTTCTGAAAACTGTAAAACTGTGTAAACTCTTTGGTAAAAACAGGAAGAACTACATTTGAAAATGAATGATTGGAATCCAAACATTTGACTTTTGTTTTTCCTCAATACTCCATCCTCCTCTTAACATTTTTGTTTTCCAGCTTTTTTAGAGGGAAAATCATTTATTACATCACTGCAAGAAATCTGATGGCCAACGTTGTTATTAATACTTGTTACTGTCGGTCCACTCAGTCTTTCTTGTGCCGTGGAAGGTCTGTGGTAGTTGTTTAAGTACACAGTGAAGGGCAGATGATGCTGCCGTCTCCCTGTCTGCTGTGTCCTCTCATCTACAGAAGTCTGGACTCGTGAGCGAACGTGCCAAATAAGAACTAGCAAGTATGCATGTACGATCTCTTTACTTGGTACTGAGAGATGCCATCTAAAGGAATCGACTCTGGACTAAAGCAGCGTTTTAACCGTTTCATTGTTAGTCCCGCCCCCTAACTCTGATGGGTGAGGTTGACGGATGAAATAAATTCATCATCATCACAGTAAACATGGAAAAAAATAATAATTAATTTTTCCTAAAAATGAATGAGTTGGTTTTAAATGAATTAACATTTTAATTATATATAACATAATAACTCAACATTTTTCTGGTTAGGTTCATTTGGACATCGAGCAGTAATAGGCTTCTTCACCACATCTAAAGGAGAATCACACTTTTGGCATAGAGGGAACCTTAACAGGTCTCCTGGCACTGCCATTTCTTGCCATTAAGTAATCTTTGCCATCACTGTTATTTTCTTTAACATTTTTAGTTCTGAGCGAGCTCTCAGTAGCTTAGGCAACTCATTTTTCTTATTTTGAAGTTTAACATTTTCTTCTTGTCTCTGTTTTAACGCTGCACTAAGCTCACTGACAGGAGGAGGATTCTTGGACCTTTGGCTCAGTTTCTACTTGCTTTGCAACCTCATCCACTCTCCTTTCAAGCTTAGATGCCTCGCTCTGTTTTGTAGTCTGTATTGGAACAGGCTCATCATCATAGGAGGGTACATCAAAAATGGAGTGGGCATGTACAGCTGCTTTTGTAGAATGTTACGCAGAGAGGTGTCGTGAGGGAAACATCAGAACTGGTATGGCTGGAGGGCTAGGCACCAGCGCAGTATGCTCGCATTTTGATGTTGCTTGGAGTGCATCCACACCAGGGGTCTGTGATCTGTCTGAAGAATAAATTCTCTTCCAAGGAAATAATATTTCAACGAATCAATTGCCCACTTGATTGCCAGTCCTTTTTCTACTGTTGAATATTTTGTCTCCCTGTCAAACAGCTTTTTACTTAAGAAAAGCTTCACCAGCTTCTCCCTGAGCCAGTACTGCTCCAAGTCCAACATTAGAGGCATTTACCAACAAATGGTTTGGAAAAATCAGGGCTTTGCAAAACAGGGGCTTCAGAAATCTGTCTTTTTAAAGATTGGAAGGCATGTTCACAGTCATTCCACATCACTTTAGAAGTGTTTTCTCGTGAGATCTGTAAGAGGGGCTGCCAAGGTTGAGAAATGGGGAATAAACCTCCGAATAAACCTCTGTGCTTTTGCAGCGTTTTTCTTTTTGCAAGTGTTTTCTGAAGTTGCAGTCTGTTTGGCCTCTCAGGGCCACCGTAGAATACTCATAATACACAGTAAAGATTGGACAGTTACTGTGTGTGTGCGTGCCCATTCTTTTTCTCTGCCACTAGATGGTGATGATGTTCATACTTTGTGACTTTTGACTTGTTTCACAAACCAAAGCCAATTTCAGGAGTCATTCCACTTTCTTCAGTTCAGGAGGCTCATGAGACAGTGAAAGGAACCAAACACTTAATATAACAGGTTCATTCCAGCTTCTAGGCAGTTTTGTCAATAAAATGCTTGTATTCTGCTAATGTTTGCTGATCGTTCCTTAAAGGTCCCACAACAGCACACGATCCTTCATTTTCTAAAGAATATGTAAAACACAATCTAAAAATGGAACTATGTTTACTGTCTCAGCTGCTTTCTAACGCTTTCAAACAGCAAGACTTGGTTCACTGCATTTTTGTCTTTAAGAGAAAACATTTAGGGAATAGTGCTGTGTTGACTCGCTCTTGAACACACTATAAACCATCCACTTTCCAAGAATAGCTCAATTTGATCATTTTTCTGCACAAGTCGATAATCTGAAGCACTCATACCTCATATGGACAGATATAACTGAAAAGTTAACCCACAGGAACCTATGCCATCAACAAAATTATACCATAGCATAAAATAGAAAGAAAAAAACACAGCCTCATATCTTGATATTGCCTGTTCTATCAGATCCAAGACGGGTGCACTATGAAGAAAAAAAATATGTATTGATGGGGATAGTTTTAGTGTCAGATGAAAGCGATACAGTCCAAAGCTTCTGCTTTAACATAATAAATAATACATCTACCCATCATCATACACTCATCACTAAAAGGAAATGACTGTGATTAGACTGGATGTGACTTGAATGAAAACTGTGTTGCTTGTTCCATTCTGGTAGATGCAGCGTTTTTTTTGTTTGTTTGAGAACAGCAAAATACAAATACAGTATAATTTTACAAGTGCGAGAGTTTCCAGCGTTTCAGATACATATATAAAAAAAGAGAGACATCAGAGGCAGCGTAAAGCTCCACCCACCCGGTGCTGTCTTATTAACGAATCGAGCACACCCGCAAGTCTTCCTGTTTCGGGAAAGTCGCTGTGTGGGCCGAAGCGCTTCGTGTTTGCAGAATATTCTCCACGTATTTACAAGACAGGACTCCAGTGAAGCGACACAGCTCTTACAGTCTGTTCTTAGAGGTAAGTTCCTAGTGTGCGTTTGTTTAAGCAGCTCAACAGCTCACTGACATGACAACTTTAACATGTATGACAACAATCTGGGTGCTGTCACGTGAAGTTGTACGAGCTGTGTTTCTGTTATAAAATGAAATAGATCCATGTGGTGATGAGACATTTGTGCTGTTTTTAAACTCCGACCACAGGAAAGTGAAAGTCATGGTTGGAGGGGCGTGACACTGGTCGCACTGTCAGCCGTATCCATAAGAATCATCACTATCACCACCATCACCAGCACTATGTCCAATCTAGTACCTATCTAGCAGTCTAGCATTATCAGGGACTACAACATCTAGTCCTTTTACTGAATCAGAATTACTACTAACGAGACTAATCCATCGATCCGTCCATCTCTTCTCTCTAGCGTATCCAATTCAGGTTATGACACCTCGCAGGTTTGTCGCAGGGCTGCAGATAATCACTGACACTGACTAACCTAACCCCACTAACTGGTTGTTTTCTTGTGGGACGAAGCTGTTGAGAACCCACGCAGACAGGAGAGAATGCAAACTCAATCACAAGGGCCCTGGCCAGATGGTGGATTCAAACCTAGGACATTCTTCCTGTGAGGATAGTAGTAATAATAGTAATAATATTATTATATGAATAGTAAAGATAACCACATTCATTGATGTGATTACATTATCTGATGAGTTTCACAGGCAAGATTGTACAGCAGCTATAAAAGTGTTTGCATCACCATTTCCTTAAATGTTTTTGTTTCACAGGTGCGATGATGAACTGTTGTGGTCTGCTAACATTCGAGAAAGAACCAGGTACTGATAGAAAATAAAGAGACTGTATTCCCCAGAACCTCACTTCATTATTAAAATCTTCATGTATGCTTATTTCTTATAACAGTTTCATGTGGCTAAAATGTAACATTTTTCACTAGAATATATGGGCTGTGTTTGTATCACAATTCTGTTTGTCTGTCAGTTCCTCTAAAGAGCATTGAGGTGGAGCTGGAGGTGAGGGACCATGTGGCTACAGTGGTCTCCACTCTGAACTACGAGAACAAGGAGGACAAACCATTAGAGGCTGTTTTTGTCTTCCCTCTGCCTGGAGATGCTGCTGTCTGTCATTTCAGCGCTCAGGTTGGACAGACACAGATTGTAGCTGA